TTTTCTTTATTGTACTAAAATGAAGATTGCAAGGTTATTTAACATCATGTTCAACTAAATAGATAATGTCTTATTACATAATAGTAGTGACTGTTGTTTACATCTATCTCATTGAACCTGTAGTAAACAAAGTAGCAAAGATACAGATAGAGCTGATTTTTATGTTGACTTAATTTGGGGATTTGAAACGGAGGAAGCATACACTTTTATCTTCTGTATATATCAATGAGAAAGTAATCCGAAAACACAATCATTTAAATTGTCTTAAATCGTCTAAAGTTCAACACAGAGTTTTTAGATTAAACAATAACCGACAAAAGACATGCGTCTATACAATATGTCAAGCTCGAATCTACTTGAGCATAAATAAGTTGTACATTAATTAAACAAAAACTGTCAACAACCATTTCTCAAAATAACAAAAACAGTTAGATATCACATTTCAAATTTATTGCACCAAAGATAAATATCTGGAAGCACATGCCTCAACGTTTTAGCTGTAAACAGTATATTATTGGAAGAAGATGGATGTAATATAAGATTTTGATAAGAACTAAAACTGACATCAAAAGGATGAATACGATTTTTCCCATTGTGAACTTTTCGATTTTATGTAACAATAATCATGCAAGTAAAAAAACTTGTTTGATTTCATTAAATTAACAAATGTTTTGAGATTTGAAAAAGACAACTAATCATCAAAGACTCAATGATCAAGATATTAAAAAAAAATAAAGACACGTGTGCGGCCTTTAAACAATGACCAAAACCCATGATGAACGTTTCATTTTTATGTAGCAATAGTTCAAATTGATAAACCAGGATTGATCTGAAACGTTTTTTTTTTTTTATCTAAACAGCTCTAAAAAGAATGAACAATAAATTATTAAGTCATTTCCATTCTTTCAGTAATTTTTCAACATATCCACTGGAATAAATCTAGTACTGTTCAGATGATTCGTTTGCTCTAAAACTGGATCTGTTCAGTCTTAGTTCAGACTGTTCAGTAGTTTTATTTACATGTACACTTCGATATCCTACTGAATTGAAAAGTTACTGAACAGTACGGAAATGACTGCAAGAAAATTGTCTAAACGGTACAGAAATTACCACAGGGGATAAGTCAGAAAATTGAATGAAAAATTTAACAGGACTGAATAATTTATTGTTAAGACATTTTAGATGATGTTAATATCAAAATGACCTTTTAAGATAATTCATTTACTAGTGCATGCGAGAAATTAACTGTATTTCATATTCAAGTAAACAACTGTGATATGTTTAAAATAGGACAACTACTAATCAAAGACTAAATGATAAAGATATGACAAATTACAGATAAATGTGCGGTCTTTTAACTATGAAAAACCCATACCGTATAGTGAGCTGTAAAATGCCCGTGAGACAACATGTGAAACATTTTAAATAAAACAAACAAGAAGGGCCTAATTCATACTACAACAATTTACGACAAACAGCTTAAATGTATTGCAGACAGAAACCAAAGACCAAATTTTACTTTATTGATACAATATTTCAAGGTTTTGTTTCTGATCATTGTTTCATGATGGAGCTCGAGGCTACTGCTTATCAGAAAGACATTGATCGAATGGTTCTGGATGACAAAAAGTCATTTCTACTTTCGCAAATTTTTATAATAAGGTTTTATAACATTTTTATCTATTTATTCAATCAAAAAAATTAGTGACATTTTTTTTATACATTTTGTTGAATGGAACAGTATGCATCAAATATTAAACATTTAAAAAATATATAATGGGGCAGTATGAAGGATCTTTCCTTTTTTGAGTTATACATTTTTGTTTTACAAAATCTCTAAAACCGATGTTGGGACAACATTTCAATGATTTACAAATATATATGATTCGAAATAGTAAACATGTATTTAGTCTATGAGGTACGAAATGGTTAATGCAGATGGCTCATAAGATACAAAAGGGTTTTGATCATGGGTACAAAAGGGAAAATGTTGGGTACGAAATGATAATTTTAGGTACGAAATGGCAGAGGTTCGAAATGGCAAAGGTACGAAATGGTCAAGGTACGAAATGACTTGCAGCGATGATTGCAATTTATAAGAAAAATATATCGGTGGTCACTTGTGATCCATATATATCATAACAGTAATCTAACATGCATTTTAATTAGCAGTGAGATAAATGCACATCTAAATTAAGATACCTTAGTTCAGAAGAGATAGTAGATAGCAAAAGAGTATTCGAAGATCAAAAGCTCATGGTCTTTGAAGTTCGTTTCTTGAAACTGTGTATTTGTTAAAAAGTGGTCTGCACATAGATAAGACAAAGTTGAATGTTAACTTTTTAGGCAGTTATGCTTAACATGCTAAAATTGTTTCAGAATTCAATGCTTTATAGACTGCTATATACAACTAATAACAAATCAGGTATATAAGACTATATGTTGGAAATACATATAAACATACATCATGGGAAGTGAACGTTTGTGTCTGATATTTCCCCTTTTCTAAATTTAAATGCCATTACACAATGAATCTGCAAAGTATATGACCCTTAAATCAGATAGATTGATGTTTAAAGTATATAAAACATGGATTAAAAACTGGTACTTAATTCTCCCAATTAAAGATATAAGAACACAGTTTTGTAATGTTTAATATGACATGTCGACTGAAATATCTGTCAATTCGACTTACATGTACATATATATATCATTATGCGTTGACCTACATGTAAATATTTCACTAACCGTGTTGAAAAGTTTCTTATTTTTCTACCTTTATATTTTAATTAACTATGATGTAAATAACTACAAGGCACCGTTAAAGTCTTTAACAATTTGCAACACCAATACTGTATTAAAGTCAGCTTAAAAGGTCTGTGTTTGACACATATAATATGAGGTATTTCAAAACATGGTTGGCAAAAACCCAGATTTTATGAGTATTGCCTCGGTTTCACTGGAAAATATGCGATATTGGTAGGAATTTTTAGGAGTATAAACTCAAGAAAGTATAAGCTTAATAACTCTTTAGACAGATAAGAACACACTTAGACAAAAGTTAAAATTTTTTTTTTCAATAATAGTATTAGAATTTCGATAATCCTACTAAAAATTTATTAGATTGTCTAAATTGGTTTTACCGTTAACCATGTTAACATGTAGACAAATAATTGTTTAAATATTTTCTATATATAACCTAGATTTAGAGAAAACAACAATAAGAATTATATAAGGAAATGACTATTCAACTGAATAATTTTTGTTCATTGCTATTTTTAGTGTTTACACAATTAAAGCATACTTACATGTACATCACTAATTAAAAAGTTATTATTGTCCGACGCATTGCGGGGGACATAGAAATACTGGGCGTTCGTCTGTCCGTCTAGTCTTGTGAACGCTTTCACGTGTACAATTCTTGCCATATTTTTATAAAAACTTATATCAAAGATTTATATCAGCAGTGTCTCGGACAAGTTTGAAAATCAGTTCTGATCAAATATTTTTGAAAGAGTTATGCCCTTGTAAAATATAAATTATATGGAAAATTGCATTGTAAGTGCTCTCTTGTGTACAAATAATGTCAGATTTTTATCAAATTGATATCAAAGGTTTATATAAGCCATGTCTCGGACAAGTTCGAAAATCATCGTTATCATTGTCGATCAAATATTTAATAAAAGGTTATGCCCCTTGGAAATATAATTTATATTCGAAATTGCATTGTATTTGCTTTCAAGCCTTCATTTCTCTAAGATATTTGTAAACAGTTTGAAAGAAAAAAAAAAGAAGAGGCATTAGGTTTTACCCTTATCCGTCCATCCGTCCTAAAATTTGTTTTCTTTCTCTGACTCCAGTTTGCCTCAACTAAATGTTATAAAAACTAAAACAAAATGCTTATTACCATAAAACACAGATCAAGTTTGAATTTGGGTGGCGTCACTTTTACTGTTCTCTAGTTATGTCCCTTTATAAGGTTATATGTAGGAGGGGCATCATCTGTGTCCCATGGACACATTCTCCATTTATTTTTTAATAATATGTCTTTTTAAATCATTTACTATTTTAAGTTCCATATAAATGTAAATAAAGAAAAAAGAAATTGAAAACAATTAAACAGTTGTACAAAAGTGAACCTTATTTTATATCAGATTGGTTACTTTTTTTCCTACCAAATATGTGACTTTTTTTCCTGTGATTTTTTCTTCTGTGACCCTTTTTCCCCCATTTGCCCTTACTTTGTATTTATTGAATGGTAAGAAGGAGTCGGCGAAATTGGTTATGATTTCAAGCTTGATAATATATAATATGGGCTAGAAATTAAAAAAACATATATGATTAGGTTGTTGTTTTTTTCATAAGTATCTGAAACTGGACAGAATTTACCATTTCATGAACCTTTACATTAATACCAATTTTTACGGATAAAATCGTTTTTCAAAAATATTTAAACGAAATTAGACAACGTGTCCTTTAAAGTTTATCAAAAGGAATTTTTGTACCTTTTCGCATAGAGTTGTTCATATCATAAATAGTCACATACAATGACATAAAACGTAAAACAACAAAAATACAGAACTCCAAGGAAAATTCAAAACTAAAAGTCCCTTAACAATTGGCAAAATCAAAAGCAAACGAATGGAAAACAACTGTCATATTCCTGACTTGGTACAGGCATTTTCGTATGTAGAACATGGTGGATTAAACCTGGTTTTAAAGCTAGCTAAACCTCTCACTTGTATGACAGTCGCATAAAAGTCCATTCTATTGAGGTACATATAAGGGAGACACAACACATTACGTAATAGACGATGCAAATGTATTTTGAAGTACCAGTACCACGACCTTCTGTATTTTGTATCCTGTTACTACTATCTAAATACAAATTTAAACAAAAACATGCCAGTGTGCCTATCGGGTGAATAATCTCTACAATGTTTGTTCGATTCTTGCTGTGTGCGTTGTAAAGACAATAATAATAATAATAATAATTACAGCTTACATTATTAGAGAGGAGATACATCGTATCATGGAAGAAGAAAAATGGCAAGCTTGTGCTCTTGTTCTATGTATCTTATTTGGTGATGGATTTAGTATAGACTGGTTGGAAATCAAATCAGCTCCAAACGACATAAAAGCAAAACTACAAGACATTGTTTCCAAATGTGAAATACACTTATACTGCAAAACATCAATGAATACTTTAAGATCTGCCTTTACCGCCTTAGAAGGTAACTATTTAAAGCGAACATTCTGTGAGTATAAAATGATAGATATCAAAATGTATAAACTGGTAGCAATAATATGCGGAAAGCATTTCACAGAATGTTTTATAAGATATGCCTCTAGTAAATTGATTCGTGACCATTTTCTTTTTGAATCCATTAAAGATGTAAAAGAAAAGGATGATCGAATAATGTTATCAGAGGACAAAGAAGGAAAGTATTTTGAAACATTGTTAGTTCACTTAACGGATTTAAACATTGTAAGTACGTTCCATAATAAACAATTAAAATATCCGTCCTATGTGAATAAGTTAATCACATTTTTGAAAGGAAATGAAGAAGCAAAAATATTGCTAAAGCAGCTGGATGCAAAAGGTTTCACACAAGTAAGAGCAGATTACGACAGCAACGGTTGGTCGTGTAATACAACACCTTTAATAGAATCAGCATCGCTTGGTTACGTTGAAATAGTTCGCTTTTTGATTGAAACTGTTAACTGCAAAGTAGACAATACAGACGCAATAGGCAGGTCACCTTTACATAAGGCGTCTGAGAGAGGTCATGAACATGTAGTGCAACTGTTACTAGAGAAAGGTGCTAGTGTTTTACTAAGGAACAAATATGGAGAATCTCCATTGTATGTAGCCTGTAAAGGAAACCATAGAGTAATAATTGATATGTTATTGCTGAAAAAAGCTAATGTTTTAGTGTGTACATGCAGTGACAAATCTCCACTGTACGCGGCATGTGAAGGAGGTTATTACGATATTGCAGAACTGTTATTGAATGAAAATGCAGATGTTAATCAGTGTAACAAGGCTGCAGAGTCTCCTTTGTATGTGGCGTGTGTAAGAGGATATACAGATATAGTAAAGCTGTTATTGGATAACAATGCCGATGTTTATCAATGTAATAAAGAGCGAGAGTCTCCTTTGTATGCGGCTTGCGAAGGAGGAAGTCAAGATACTGTGAGACTGTTATTGGAAAATGGTGCAGATATCTTTAAGCGAAATATCCATGGAGAGTCTGCATTGTATGTTGCCTGTTTGTTAGGATATACAGATATAGTTAAACTGTTATTGCATACAGATATAGATATCAATCTGTGTAATAACAATAGAGAGTCTCCTTTGTATATGGCCTGCGTAAGAGGATATACAGATATAGTTGAACTGTTACTGCATAAAAATGCCAATGTTCACCTGTGTGACTGTGCCGGAATGTCTCCGTTGGATGTGGCTAGGGCAGAAGGACATGTAGATATATATAAACTGTTAGAGTTAAAGAGTTAAACATTGTTAAAAGGGAGTTTCGGTTAATATGCAAATTGAAAAACTGTTAATTGCATATAATGCCGATGATAGTATGTGTAACACAAGAGACCAGGTACCAATTGATATTGCCAAACATTCAGAATGTAAGGAAACAGTAAATATATTTGAGGAAAGCTTGAAAGTTGAAGGACGATCATTGCAATCCATATTTGTACGAATCACAACTATTATTCAGGTTCCCAATTGTGAACTTTCCATTTCTATGTAGCAACATTCTAGCAGCGCCTGCATACGGAGTATATTTCTCCCAATTGATATGATATTCACAAGCTTGTATTTCCTATCATAATTTCCTTGAAAGAGGATTGCTGCTCACAAGGAAGCTATTAAACCAAGAGTTTCAAATGGTGAAGTTGAAATCATCCCTTCGTAAATTTTACGGACGCCATCACGAGTTGGTCAACCTTTATGGAATAACAGTGTCACAGATGATATCGGATATGTTCCTTATGTCGTAACTTCAATACCCTTCCCTTTTCACGAATGTGACCTACCGATTTAGACTATTTACCGGATTTGTATTAACATAAGCAACACGACGGGTGCCACATGTGGAGCAGGATCTGCTTACCCTTCCGGAGCACCTGATATCACCCCCAGTTTTTGGTGGGCTTCGTGTTGCTTAGTCTTTAGTTTTCTATGTTGTGTCATCTGTACTATTATTTGTCTGTTAGTCTTTTTATTTTTGGCCATGGCGTTGTCAGTTTGTTTTCGATCTATGAGTTTGACTGTCCCTCTGGTATCTTTCGTCCCTCTTTTAAACATACACTGACAGTGTACACTAGTAAACAAATTATGAAGTCATATTCAGTCTTTTAGTCAATTAAAAGATTTATTCACTGCGGACTGTTCAGTAGATGTTATAAACCTGTTCACATCAACATCATACTTAATTGAATGCAACTAACCAGTACTGAATTGATCGCAAGCTTAATTTCTGTACAGTCCTGAATTTACCGCTGTGGTTAAGTCTGAAAATTGCTTTAAGGACTGATCATGACTGAATAATTTATTGTTCAGACTTTTCAGATAACGTTAAGATCAAAATGACGGTAAAAGACCAAAATTAATTACTAGTGATTCGCGGTATTACAATAACTTCATTATGCTTTTATAATTATTTTTTGTTTTTATTTTTGCATTTATCTAGCAGGTATTTCCTAATTGGTTGTCCTTTCGAAAACATGGTGTTTATCATGTTAATAGCAGATAATATTAGCTTAATGCTTGAATGATAGCGGTACATGTTGCAAAACATCAGCAAATCTGTAGAAAGTAAAATTACAAAAATACCAACTTCAAGGAAAATTCAAAATCGGAAATTCCCTTATCAAAGGGCAAAATCAAAAGCTAAAACACATCCAACGAATGGAAAACAAATGTCATATTCCTGACTTGGTATAGGCATTTCTTTATGTAGAAAATGGTGAACTAAACCTGGTTTTAAAACTAGCTAAACCTCTCACTTGTATGGCAGTCGCATAGAATTCCATTATATTGCCAATGAGTAAATGAGGTTAAATTACAGGTCCAGGTCAGATTTCAAGTTTTGATTTTGGCTTATTATCGCTAATCCTCACAAATTGTACCAGATATCGACAAAATATTTTCACTTATTAGTGTTAGATGCGACATGCCGCAACACATCAATTTGAGTTCAAAAGGTACGCTGGCATCTAATGAGAGTTTTCTCCCCTCTCATATCAAAAATTAGCTGTACGGTGATATAACTCATTCACCATATTATGTAGAGATCAAGTGTCTTATGATTAGAGGTCCTTGCTTTAAGACTTCGAAAAAAGTAAAATAACAAAAATACCGAACTCCAAGGAAAATTCAAAACGGAAAGTTCTTTAACAAATAGCAAAATCAAAAACTCAAACACATCAAACGAAAGGAAAACAACTGTCATATCCATGACTTAGTACAGGCATTTCCTTATGTAGAAAATAATGGATTTAACCTAGTTTTATAGCTAGCTAAACCTCTCACTTGTTTGACAGTCGCACAAAACATTCCATTATATTGACAACAATGTGTGAGCAAAACAGACAGACATAATAGGTAAAAATGTCAAAAATACAGCAGTACAGCAGGTACAGCAGTCAACTTATATGGTATAATATTAATCACTTTAAAAACAAAAAGATATGTCAACAAAGAAAAACAAAATGGTATATAGACAAAGCACACAAGCAAAAATGAAATACAAGAATACAAAATAATGACCATAGCACAATCACACAATGGCGGGATGTATAAGTACCGAGCCACGTTAAAAGGATATTACCAAAAAATGGAATAAACAGTACTAGTAAAGGTTAATAATTTACAAAGACAAGTAAAAGAACACTTTAACACGTAATTAAGATGATAAACAACGTTAGTACCTAGAATTTATACTTCAAGACCATTATGTATTATTTGTGATTTTGATACTGAACATTTATCAACTAGGGTCTTGGTATCTTCCGATGAACTTTTTTAAGAAAAAAAGACGAGACGTTCTTTGACATAACACTGGTTCATCAACTTTCTGCTCAGACACTTGTGACGTTTTATAAAGTCTGAGTTGCAGCTGCAAGCTCTTGAATACCGAATACGTTTGGAAATGTATATCCCATTAGCAGGTGAAGTTGGTATATCGCTACTAAGGTTGAGGAAATTGATAATTTCAAAATTAAAATCGTCTCGTTTGTCAGAGATTTTGATACTGAGATGACCGCTTTTGTCAAATTCGAGGTATAAGTCTAAAAATGAGGCGGAGGAAGCCGTGTCTGTTGTTTCTTTGAATTCTAGTTCTGAAGAATATATAAATGGAACCCAATCAGAAAAGTTTGGATCGTTAATGGAAAGAACATCATCAATATATCTGAATGTGAAATTAAATGATCTTGCTTCTTTGATCTTCTTGTTGTGTTTGACAAGTGGTTGAAGGAACTTCGACTCATATGAAAATAAGAAGTGGTCGGCAAGGAGAGGCGAACAGTTCGTTCCCATGGGAATGCCGACAATTTGTTGAAAAGTCTACCTCCAAATTAAACAAATATGTTGTCAATAAGAAACTCCAGCATACTAATCACTTGTTCCTCTGTAGAATGTTTACCTTTTTGTTCACTATTAACAAAATATGCCGTATGGTATCATAAAGTAATAAATGAATAGAGTATGCTACCATTTTTATATTGAAAAGCATTGTGGATTATTTCTTTTAGCCGATTTTTCAATTTCATTGGAAATGGTGGTATACAGTGTTGAAAAATCAAAAGTTTTAATAGAATAAATTTCAGAGAAAGATCGAGTTTAAAAGTATCCAGAAGTTCTTCAGAGTTTATTAGAATCCACATATGGTTAATACCTCTACGCGAGTAAACAGTTTCACAGTATTTCTGAAGACCCTCTTTCAATTTGGACTGAATTTTTGTCAATCTAATGGACAATTCCTTCGTAGAACATGCAAATGAGCCGGCAATGTACCGTTGTTTGTATGGAGTTTTGTGAAGCTTAGGTATCCAATACAAACAAGGTAAGTCCTCAGATTTGCTGTTTAATGTAATGTTCTTTGAAGCCATGAAGGACTTATGATTCGTCAAAACCTCATCCTTGTCAAATGATATGTTTTTATGTATGGGATTACCTGAGTGCTCAATGTACTAACGTTGTTTATCATCTTAATTACGTGTTAAAGTGTTCTTTTACTTGTCTTTGTAAATTATGTTAATGTTTCCATATAATAGAAAAAAAAGGTCCATCTATAATCAACGAAAAAGTGGCGATTACTGTAATGCATAATAGCATTATCAAATCAAAGTTCATGGGCAGAATTTAGAAGAAAACTACCAGAAATTGCTATTAGCCAACATTGACAGAAAGACACTGCAATTAAACCACAAATGTTTAACTAATTTTTCTGTTCAACAACAGATAACAATTCCGCCATTTTTCAATAATATTGAAAGTTAAGGCATGTTTTGTTTCCGACATCCTTAAATTTATATAAGCAATTAACACGGTGAATAAAATTGTCCTGCGAGAGAATGTTCAGTGCTAATCATTGGTCCTGACCGGTGCTGGTGAACGTTGAAAATATGTAAACGATGGCATTTTTTTACGTTTTTTCGAATAAAATAGGAAAAGAAATTATTCAAATGTTTTAGTTTGTTTCTTTTAGGTTCAAAGGCAATCTATTAAAAATGGCTCTCTACGCAGTGTCAGTAAGCGCAACACAAAAGTGCTCATTTTTAAATTATCTAGGACGGAAAAAATAAACAAAAGTGCTCCTGGAGTCCGCTTTCTATTCCGCACGACAAATATTTTGTGTGAAAAACCGTAGTAATTTTAAAAGAATGTGCATTTTCTTAGCTTAGAGATGTCTTGATTTTTTCGTTAGTGGGTTATGATCTGATGCTGGTGATTTAAGACGAGACGTTAGTCCTATTTGAATCAAACGTTACAGAATTAATAAACTTTGGTAAACAATTGTATTTATTCGTATTTTTGCTTCTATTTTTAAGTTATAAGTTTCTATTTATACATTTGGACATTCATTTGACAGTATAGTAAGCGTTTTCATCTAATCATTACTTCAAACTACAGAAAAGGGAAACATCTTCAGTTCAATATCAGATGAATACACATTTCAATGCATAAGAATAGTTTTATGAAAGTCTTAAATGTACTTAAAATGGCGTTTTTGTCAACAGGCATCGTTCTTAGCTCAGCTAGCGCGAGGCCCACCAATGTGTGCTATATTGATATCAATGGCGTCTTTTGTCGTCGTAGTTAACCTAAACTTTAAATGAAATCTTCCTCTGACACTTCAGGGTTAAATGTTCCCAAACGATTTTTTCTGGGTAAAAATAAATATTAAAAGAATGTTGATAATTAGGACAATGAGAGATGAGAACTTAATTCTTTCAGAACCTTTACAAAAACAGTCTATACAGTTGTTGTGCAATCAACTTCTATATTTTTGTACAAATATCCTTGAAATTTCACAGAAAAGATTGCACACATATTGAATCTGTATACCTGTTATTATTGAATACAAATACATTCCAGACTTGGAAACATACTGACTATTTAGCATAACTTGCATATAACAGTTTCAATA